TACCTCATTGCTGAGCTCCCTCCGTACTGTGAATGCGGAAGTAATGTGTAATACATGTGTTTACACCACTTGCAGTGCGTTCCAGCCCGATTCGCAGTGCATCGCATTGAGGCCGGCTCAATTTTTTCCCGGGTAGGAGGGGGCGTGGCGGGCTATTGTAGTGAATGGCACAGTAGCCACACCCTCCAGCCGCAATGCGATCGCCCGCGATGTGCAGTCGCCCGCGATGTGCAGTCACTGCAGTGGAGACGGGGGGCACTGGAGGCTCGCACAGAGCACTCCAGGTAAGGTTCTGGAGTGTGCGGATCCTCCGGTGCTGCGGGGGCCCAGCCACCTCCACCTCCTGCAAGTCATGTACGGCCGTTGGCCGATACTCATGTAAGGTTCTCGGGCCCCTTACTTGAGTAGGGGAGCGATAGGCTGCTGCAGCCTGTTAAATTACTGTGAGGAGGCGAGAGCAGGAAAGTTGTGGAATTAAGGTCATCCCTTAGGCAGCCTCATGAGGCTGTTGCTTCAGATGGTATCTATTTGGGTCCCGAGGTCCCAATAGATTTGGATGTCTGCCACCCCCTTTCTGGCCAGAGTGTCCCAGGTTAGTAAGTGCTCTGTCTCTCAGTGACCTGGGACACTTTGGCTAGAATTCCACTCAGCTCCTGGCAACCAGTGACGTCAGTGAGCTGGGCAGGATGCTAGAAAGCGGTAATGTGCACCCCCAGCATCAAACCCCCCCCCCCGGTAACGTGCACCACAAGCACCCACACCAGAACCAAGAGTCCCCCTGTAGTGTGCACCATGAGCAACCAAACCACAGCCCCCCTCCAGCAGCCCCCTGGCCTCAGGCAGCAAACGAAAAGTCTAGGGACATCCCTGTATGTAACCGCAACATTACACCTGGATAGTGGTTCTTGATACTCATTAGAACTGAAGAAGCAGCCTGGATAAGCTGTGAGACGTCTTAGAGAACAAGTCCAGTTAAATATGACTAACTACTATTTGCTATATCATGACCTAGATAAATGAGAAACTTCACAGATATCTGAAATGTAAAAATTCATAAAGGTTAAGTGCACAAGGAAATAATATTTCACCTTCTGATAGGGGTTGAAGAAATCTCTTGCAGTTTATTTAGTCTCTCAGGTACTGACAACAAACTATATTTCCTGTAGAGCTTTAAAGTAGTATTAAAGTCTCATTTGTTTACATATATCTACTGCCAGCAAGCAGTACATACTGTATATGCCCCTACATAAAAAAATAAATTACCAAATAGGTAATAACTTACCTGTGTCTGCGCCACTTGCTCCCAGCTGCAGAATTCAGCTTCCCAAACGGTCGTGCAGACGGGAGTGTGTGCGGGCGCATGTGCAGTCCATATCACCGCAGGGGAAAGGAGACAGTGTATGTGAATGCACACAGTCGGAAGCGTGCACCCAGGACAGCCTCCATGGAACACAGGAAGACATAGGAGTCAGTGCTGGATCAGAGAGCAGTACCAGCGCTGGAGTGACTGTTAGAAACCAGTGGAAGGAAGAAGTTCACATCAAGAGGTATTACATAAGGTAAGTACTTAAAGCAGCATTGGGGGAAAACAATGGAGCCTTTAATGTCACTTTAAAGGATAGCTCTTCTACCACAGCTATTGAGCCAGGGTGTCATGCTGCCTCTGCTGGAATACCCATGGTAGTTATGAGTACATATGAGTACTGGTATCTGTAGTGGGGCCAGACCTATAATGATCTTATCCCCAGAAGTCACCGGGCAATTCAATTCTTCTGTGCATGTAAAGCTGAGTTTTTCACTTTGGGTGGACATGGCCTCTGAACACAACACTCTTTATCACACCGCCAAAGAGTATGAATATGGTGTTACACATAGCTTTATTTTTTTAAGATTAGTGTGCAGCTTACCACAAAAAAACACTATTATCATCATATTTCATACCTCCTTAGGCCACCCATAAAGTTACACTAAATTCAGGCATTACACCTTAAAAATGCATTCACTATTCACACCTTAACTATTAAGAAAAATGTATCTTATTTGTGTATCACTAAGCTGTAGATCCTCAAATCATCTCTGAATTGGTGCTGACACTGTCCTTCCTTCTGGAGGGGGGCTACTTTTGTTCCCCATGGTCCTGTGTTTTGTAAAGTAGTCACCACTCCAAGCTCACTACTGGACTACAATCTCATGTTTAGTTTACTAATATGTATTGAGATTGCAGTCCATCACGTGAGTGTGCTTGGAGCGGTGACTACTTTTCAGCAGACACAGGGAACATTGGGAACAAAAGTAGCCACCAATTCAGAGATAATTTGAGGATCTACAGCCGAGTGATACACAAATAAAATACAGTTTTGCCATTTATACTGGACCACCCTGGGTGAAATATTACATCAATTGCATATTTGCTGAATGTAGTCAATTTGATGATATTGTCCATGGTATACATGACATTAAATAGAAGCATGCTTATAAGTCTAGAGGTGCTTATTATCATGAAAGCTGAAAAAATTGTTTTGAAGTAAATCAGTCACATGTTTACAAATTATGACAAATGACTTATAGACTCGCTAGTTTACTCATTCATTAGTCCTAAGTGAATTGCGACGTTCGATGCAGTGGGCTTCTGGCTTGTAGTTTGTAAGTGAGATGAAAGCATAATTCAGAGAATCAATTACTTTAATTCATCTCATCTCCATACAATTTTGATGTCATTATCATCAGTAATGTAGCAGTTTCACAACTTAGCAAAGTTCTCAGGATTAGGTTAAAGCAATAATGAGATATAAGACCCACGGAATATTCTGATCTCTTGATTTGCTTGCCAGAGTGTGAGAATAATATCAGTTTATTGCAATGAAACTTCAGACACACTGCAGAAAATAGACATTGTGCATAAAACCAGTACTTATTTCTGCTGATTTTCTTTGTATATATTACAGTCAGCCCTTGTAATAAAAGAACTGACGATGATAATATTTACCTACATTAATTAATAACACAGGAAGCTTTAGCAAACAAGACTTTCTAATTATAATCTCAATGCTATCTTTAACACGGTGTGACAGCTGGTATGAGGATATGAGATGGAGCTCTGTCTGTCTTTCAGTGAATCCCCTATTGCCCCAAAAAATCATACAATCCTGTGCTTTTATCTGTTGAATCGTATTGTGTTTATAAAGAATATAGTGAATTTAAGGCCTTCTAAATAGAATTATATAGCTTTGTGCTATATTGCACATTATACGCACGCACGCTGTATACGCTAGCTAACCTGTATTGGTATAGTAATATACTAATATTATTATTATAATATAATAATATACTGTAATAATAACTCCGGATTGGCTAATTCTGTGTTATCCTATCTAGCCAGATCTGAATAGCTCTTATAATGGCCATACATGTATTGATCTTATCATTCGATGAACCAATCGTTGCCACACCCTGATCCAAGCTGGCAAATATTGATAATTTTCTGGAAATATTTCAAACCCTTTGATCTGATTTCATGGCAGTGAATTAAAGATTGGATGAATGAAGTGGAAATTTCTACCAGTTGGACACTCAAGAGATTTTTTTCGTTTTGAGATCATTTTGATCAATATCATCTGGCAGGAAGAGCCGTTTGCGTCATTTCCGGCTGGACAAACCAATTAATCAAAACACGCTGACAGCTTCAGAATGACATTTGTTATTTGTTTTTTGTTGTCGACATCTGATCAACGAATCGATGATGAAAAATCAATGTGTATATGGCCAGCATGACTATGTACTGTATATGTAACATAATTAAAAATGTATTGTGGGTTATTAACATTTGCTTAGTGTCATACCCTTTTCTGGAAGATTTAATACATTAAGTAGGGCAGAAAAAATACTTTCCAGCACATTGTTCTGTATTCTTCTTCAGGCTGTTGAATTATCTACTGGCCCAATGGGAAAACTTGAAATTTTGCTTGTTATCACCAAGAGGCTAACTAATGGAAGGCTGTTTGTATGGGCAAATTATGCAGACAAGTGTGGAGGACCGTAGCTGTTGATAAGCCCTAAGATACTATTTTACATTCAGAATAATAGGTAAAGTCACAATGGCACCAATGAAAGGGTACATTAGGAGAATGTCCAGACATACTAACCCAACACAAGCAAGGGTTACTACAATCTGACAATATCTCTGGCCTGACCTATGATAAAAAAGCTTTCAGAATGTTGGGGCTTTAAATAAATAAATACATTCTAAATCCTGCCAACTAACCATGTTCTCTGTTTTGCACCCATTCCACCTGAGCTAGTCCATGCATAAGCATATACTTATTCATTAAAAAAAACTTAACTATGGTTTCCCTTACTGCTATAAAAATGATAGAATGACATTATTATGAAAGAGTAGGAAATCTTTGGAGCTGGCTGCCAATGACTTTAAACACACAAAACATTATAAATACATGAAATCTACTGGCTAGATGTACTTTTATTGCATAAGCAGTATGAAGAGCTGTGAGGATGTGCAAAGTGCAATCATCCAAAGCAACCACCCGTAGAAATCCTGGTAACTCATGTTCCTACAGTAACCTAAACCAGACTGGTTGCTTGAGGGTTACGTTTTCATTACACCCTCAATGCTCATTGCACTACCAATAATGTATGCTTTTGGTATAACTTAGGCTGTTAAGGCAGGGGTGGACAAATTAATTTGAGATTCAGGACCCAGTCTGGCCAATTCAGGAGCCAGCAATATTTTTGTTAGGAGCCAGCTCCATTGACAACTAGAGAAAACCTCAAAAGTTGGGTGCCAGCTGTCCTTTTTAGGGAGCATTGGCTCTTGACATTTGCCCAGCCCTGTATTAAGGTTACTCTCAACACACAGTAAACTTTGCATGAGCTTATATTAGTCAGCGGCATGCCATGACCAATCCCCATAGACTTTAGAAGCAATTAAAAGTGTGCTCAAATCCCCAGCAATTAAAATAAAACCGAATAAGTGTTAGGTTTACCTTCGGAGAAGTCAATCAGTCCCAACAAATGTAAAAGCTTTAGAGAAGCACAAATAATCATCACTATCCCCACGGTTTGTAGTCCCTCTGACTCCCACTCTGCCGTTATCATCCTTGAAATAGACAAGTCATTCCTGGATCAAACTTTACAGCTGATTAGATGGCTTCTGTTAGTGTGTGTGCAAGACCTGCACTCATGGATAGAGGAGAGGAAGCAGCCTTTTCCTGCCTGTGGAAAGCACCAGCCTGACTGAATGGAAATGTGCTGGAGCTGCGCAATTCATGCTTCCCACCGTGTGATTGTGTTAGGAGTGAGTCGTCTCGAGGAGCTGAGGTGGACCACCATCCCTATGTCTTGACATCATTACTCGCTGCTTATGCTTTCATTTGCTGGAGCATCTGCTTCAGAACTCGCATCCCCACTCCCAGTTTGTAACAGAAGAAATCCTTGAGAACTTACAAGTACGAGCACGTTGCTTTATGTCCACAGATAATTCCAGTGCCTCAGAACTGAGCCCTAAATAATCACATGCTTAACCCCCTGTGCTCCAAACTGACATGATGGGCTAAGGTGCACCACACAGTCATCTTTTGTATCCTGCTTATTATAGTTTGTTTTATTCTACTGAGGCTGGCCAGAGACAGGCATACAGCAATAAAAAGATACGACTCCTACCACTTGTTCTATTAACTTGGATGATTTTATTCTAGAATGCTAAAAATCATCGCTCTTTTCTGAATGGTAAAAAGGGAACAAATCATAATCGTTAATGGAGAAGATCCCTGCGACTGTCACTGAGGCTTGCCATGAATGGGCAGATATTTTTGGGAGAATGATGGTGGGGGTGGTGGTGGGGACATAATTGCTCATCTTCACATGACTTGTTGAAGCTTCAGAGGTTGTTGCGGTGCTCAGTCGATGACAGTGGCGCATGCGTGCTGCTTGAATGGCATATTAGGTTTCTGGTGCTGAGCTGATACTGGTAGTTTTTGGAATGTGACTTTCGGCGTAGAAAAAAAAAAGGATGATCAAAATTGTGCACATGTTTCTCACTGACATTTACCCTATCCCGAACACTTAGCCCTCGTTCACACCTGAACGTTTTGTAGCGCGTTCTACGCTCGAAGAACGCTCTACAAAACGCTCAAAAATATAAATTGCATTGGAGTCAATGGACTCGTTCCCACCTTGCCGTATTTTCGCCCGTCCCGAACGCGCTACAAAACGGCCCACGCCTGAAAAGGTACAGGTACTACTTTGGGCCGTTTTGTAGGGCGTTTTCCATTGGAATACAGCCAAGTAGCCTTCGGGGTCGCGCAACTTTTTTACCGCAAATCGCGGTAAAAAAAACATGCGACGGTCGCGCGACAGACGCGCTTTTACAATACGCCTAGGTGTGAACCCAGGCTTAATCCAACTCCTAAAGTTAACACTTAAAGTGACTCTTTCATTTTAAAAAGATGTAGTCACTAGCAAGTGTTAAGTGCAGTCACATTTCAGTGTCAGATTTTATTGCCCCCTCTATGCCTGTATGGTGGGAAATGTTAATTGAGCTATGATTGAATTGATTGAAGTCCATCATAGTGATGGGTCAACAGGGATGTGGGGGCAGGACTGCTGCTGTCATTATTCAATCCTCGCCACTGCCGGTTAGGTAGATATACTGTACAGCTGGGAGGCTTACAAAACAAAAAGTTTACTTTTTTTGTTTTGGTTTTTTTTACTGAAGGATATGAAGGCAAAAAGTATATCTTTCAGGGTACTGTTTAAGTATGGAGCTCCAGGCTTGGGGCTACTTTAAATAGCTTATCTCATTATTGCACCCTGCCGCAGGGCAATGCTTCCTCCCTCCCTCCTTGCAGTGATTAACAGAGTGCAGGGAGAAGAGCCAAAGGAGCATTCTGATTGGCTGCAAAGGAGGCCAACGCTTAAGCCCACCCCTAGTAACCAGGAAAAGAAGGACTTTGTAACTCTGCCCACTGGACCCATGAGTCTCAGAGCTGTGGGAAGAGCCCAGAAGGACCAGCCATAATGGGGAGAGAGCCCCTAAGTTAACACCTGGTTTCCTAGCAACTAAGCGGAGGGGGTTGAATAATGACAGGGACAATGTACTGTCATTATTCAGCCAACGCTGCTGCCAGTTAGTTGCTAGGACTGCGTGGCATCCACTGTCTGCTGTCTTCATGGGTCAGCGAACTTTCGTTGTCCACTCAAGCAGCCCCCCCCCCTTCATGTGGCCCCCAGGTCATATGAGGGTATGGACGACACACTCTGACACTTCCAGGCATTGTCAGAGCTTTCCCCATTCAGAACAGCTTGAAATTCTATGTTATGAACAAAGGGGATGGAAGGGGGGAGTCCTACAGTATATTCCTATAGTTTATAATATTTATGTTGTCCTGATACAGTAGGGTGAGTGAGCATTGTCATCCTAGGACAGGAAGTTTGTGTTTGGTAGAATCACCAGGTAAAAATACTGGAAAAAAGCCTAAAAGAAATGCAATCCTCTCATCTAAGGATTGGTAAACTGCAATATATTTTATTTTTGTTTTTTTGGCTTTAGATACTCTTTAACTGCCTCCGATCTGAGCGGGCGTCTCTAGACGTCCCGCCCCGCCCCCCGCTCAGGCGCGCTCCCGGCGCGATCACAACCCGGCAACTGTGCTCGCACTGTCCATTGGACAGTGCTGTTTCCATAACAAGGTATAGAGCCAGTAAAATCGGCTCTATACCTTGCGATCTAGCTGTGACAAATCACAGCTGTCACAAAAGTAAACAAAGGCTGCAGTTTGCAGCCCTGTCACTATCTCCTCTATCTCCTCTCTCACACACCGTTCGATAAACTCCAGGTTAAGCAACTATTTTATCTGAATACAAGAGTGCTGTATATTTTTACATGAATTTTGTTTTGCTTTGTGCATTTCTTCCAGATCTGTGCAGTAATCCACTGCAATATTTTACCTCTGTGCATGAGCTTCCTGTCATACAGACCAGTCACTGCTGTTCTCTCTCCTTGTGCAGGGTGGATGGTCTTGTAACAGGGACGTGCAGTCAGGGGTGGCTGGTGAGGCAGAGTCTCACCTAGAATTATGAAGAAAAAAGGTGTCAGCTTCAAGTCTGAAGCTGACAGCTTTTCCTCCATTCAGATCGGCTTGATACAGGTTACACAGCAGGGAAAGCCTCCCCGCTATGTAACCTGTCATGGACAGAGCGCTGCCTGTTAATTACAGGCAGCGCTGCATCCGGATTTTGACAGGTAGTTAGGTTATACAGCAGCGGGCTTCCCCACTGCTTGTGTAACCTAACTTGGTGAAGCAAGAGCTGTCACAGCCAGCATCTGTTGATGGTTTTGACCAATGGCAAAGCGCCATTGGTCCAAGCTGTCCAATCGAAAAGAAAAAAAGCAAAACAGTGAGGACATCGATCTCAATGCCTCACCAGTAGCGAGCAAGTGAGGGACAGGGAGACTCCTTCCTGTCTCCTCCCTTCCTCCTCCCCACACAGCTTGGTTACCAAGCTGGGGGCGGAGCTTTGGTGGGATCGGGTGGAGCTTTAGCGGGACAAGGGCGGAGCTTCGCGGGCTGGGGGATGCCTCACCCAGCAAAGAAGGCATGGCACGTCACTGAACCACCCCCTCCTCTAGTTTTCTGCAGGCAGCCTTTAGTGGGTGGAGCCTGCTGGGTCCGTCCCACAGCTCTGCTCTCTGCACAGGCCATGTACAGCAAAGGGATAATGGCACTGCTACTTTTACAATATCAGTAAACAACCCAGTAGTAACTGGGTTTGCAAAGGTCTGGTGCACACAAAGTGGATTTATATTCTTTGTGGCCATTAAGGAATATATTTAGAGAAGCTGACAGCTTTTCCTCCATTCAGATCGGCTTGATACAGGTTACACAGCAGGGAAAGCCTCCCCGCTATGTAACCTGTCATGGACAGAGCGCTGCCTGTTAATTACAGGCAGCGCTGCATCCGGATTTTGACAGGTAGTTAGGTTATACAGCAGCGGGCTTCCCCACTGCTTGTGTAACCTAACTTGGTGAAGCAAGAGCTGTCACAGCCAGCATCTGTTGATGGTTTTGACCAATGGCAAAGCGCCATTGGTCCAAGCTGTCCAATCGAAAAGAAAAAAAGCAAAACAGTGAGGACATCGATCTCAATGCCTCACCAGTAGCGAGCAAGTGAGGGACAGGGAGACTCCTTCCTGTCTCCTCCCTTCCTCCTCCCCACACAGCTTGGTTACCAAGCTGGGGGCGGAGCTTTGGTGGGATCGGGTGGAGCTTTAGCGGGACAAGGGCGGAGCTTCGCGGGCTGGGGGATGCCTCACCCAGCAAAGAAGGCATGGCACGTCACTGAACCACCCCCTCCTCTAGTTTTCTGCAGGCAGCCTTTAGTGGGTGGAGCCTGCTGGGTCCGTCCCACAGCTCTGCTCTCTGCACAGGCCATGTACAGCAAAGGGATAATGGCACTGCTACTTTTACAATATCAGTAAACAACCCAGTAGTAACTGGGTTTGCAAAGGTCTGGTGCACACAAAGTGGATTTATATTCTTTGTGGCCATTAAGGAATATATTTAGAGGAAAATGTTTGTGCTTGGAGTTCAGTTTTAAATTATTACTTACAGTGACATTAAAGTCTCAATATTGTTTTACATATATCTACTGCTAGCAAGCAGTACTGTAGATATATGCAAAACAGTAAAAAAAAGTGACCTAATAGGTAAACTTACCGGTGTCCCCGCCGCTCGCTCCCAGCTGCAGAATCTAGCTTCTCGAGTGGCCGTGCAGGAGGATGTGTGCAGGCGCATACGCACTGGAGATCACTGGCAGGGAGAGGAGGAGAGCTACTGTGTAAGTCAATGCACGCAGCCGTACACACCCCGGAAAGACTCAGTGGGACAGGAAGAGACAGCAGTCTGCACTGGATCAGAGACCAGCACCAACGCTGGAAGCGGGGCTGGATTAACATAGAGGCAGGTGGAGCTCCCACTCAAGGCCTGCCCCTGCAAATAGGCCCAGACGGGCCAAGCTGACCGGGATGGCTGAGAAACCATGCAGCCGCGGTCCTCTATTCAGGCATATCAGAGGGCCCTATTGTAAAATTCTGCATTGCTGTATAATTTATTGCTAAGATTTCTAGTCTCAGTGGCAGATCTACCAGGGTCGCAGCTGCAATCGGGCCCCGGCGCTCCACCACTGACTCCAGGCTGTAAAGAGACTACAAATCACAGTCTGGACAGGAGGAATAGGGCCCCGGTGACCGTTGCCATTTCCATAAAAAGGCCCACCAAAATCCTCGGCACCAGGCCCTCGATGCTCTTAATCCGGCCGTGGTTGCAAGGACTGCTGAAAATGTCACTTTAACACCTTAATTCTTGACCCTTTAACCCTAACCACTAACATTAATGCACTGACCCTAAAGGAAATATGTACTAATATATATATTTATGCTGCCATTGCTGACCTAGTATATACTGGTTTCTATAT